TATTATTATTATTATTATTATTATTATTATTATTATTATTATTATTATTATTATTATTATTATTATTTTAACTTGTATGCCGCCCGACTGTCAACGACTCTGGGCGGCTCACAGCAATCAAAGAAACTACAATAAAACAAAAAATCACATTGATTCTGTGCCATCCAGCGACCCCGTGGATAGATTTCCACCAGGGCACTGGACCTTTATTTATTCAGGACATGATTTATATCATTTCAGTAATTACCCATCTCGCCCAAGGGACTCTGGGCAGCTGACAAGATTAAAAGAAACTCTCCTCCCCCCTCCCCGCCAATAATATCTCTGCCTGCTTGGGAGGAGAAGTGGAACTAGGTAGAATTTTGACCCAGGATTGGTCCCCTGTGTGGAAGCTGGACGCTGGTTGTGGGAAAAAGGGGTGTCCTTCCTTGACTTTATGGCTTCAGTTGTGGTTGTGGTTGTTTTGCATCCAGTTTGGTTCTGAGAGCTGGGGTGGTTAGCAATGAAATGCTGGAACAAGAGTGGGGAGACCCAGGTTCGGGTCCCCCTTCAGCTACGGAAGCTCCCTGAGGGGTTTGCAGCCAGTCCCACTCGGGCCGATCTGCCTCCCTGGGTTGTTATTGAAAAAAATAGGGGGGAGCTCGGTGTACACTGCTGTGAAGGAAAGGCACAATATAAATCTAAAAAATAAGAGAGCCAATGTCTTGGGGGAGATGCTGGATTAGGAGCAGGGAGGTCCAATTTCTTGTCTGTCATCAGCCGTGGAAGCTCCCTAGGGGAACTGAGTCATTCTAGAATCAAGTGGCCTTTGATGGATGAATACATAAATAAATATTGTTACTGCTGTTTTTATGCTGCTTTGCATAAAATAGTTGGAGACTTGCTTTTTCCGCCATGTTGGAATTCAGATCCTGCAATTTTAGTCTCTACAATGGTGTGCACGGAGACATTTGCCAAAATTCACACACCCAGTAGAATCATCTCTCATCCAGAGCATCATCTCTTGGGGGGGAGGGAACCATAAAGCCAAGATAGGAGCAATGCTTCTTTTCTACATGCATCATGCTTTGATCAGGCAAGCAGGACTGCCATCTTGACGTTTTTGACACACACACACCATGCCGATGTTTTTCGTCCATGATAGCTGATGTTATAATGAATGGATTCATTGTTAAAGTGAAGGAGATGTCTTGCCATTTTTGCTCCAAGAGGCTAACCACTTTTCTGAACAACTGTGATGGGGAAGGGTTTGTTAACTTGTAGGAGGGGCTGCCAAAGGGAGTTTGGAGGTCATCGCAGATGCTCGGTGGGTGCCAAGACTCTTGGTCTTGATTTTCTCCACGTTGGTTTACAGGTCAGAGTGCAAGATCCAACACCCACGGTTTCAAAATGACGGCAGACGTGGAGCGGCTCCTGATCCAGTTCAAAGATGAGGCCGGGGAGGTTCTGGGGGCCCCCTTTGATGTCCCTGTTGATATCACACCAGAAAAGCTCCAGCTGGTTTGCAATACCCTCTTAGAGAAGGTATAACCAGGGCACTTCCTCCTGCATGATGTCCGTTGTGGATGGCTTACTTTGTATGCAAAGCAGTACAGGTAGTCCACTTAACGACCACAATAGGGACCAGAAAATTCATTGTTAAGCAGGGCGGTTGTTAAGCAAGTTGCGCTCAATTTTATGACCTTTTTTTGCAGTGGTCATTAAGCAAATCACGTGGACATTAACTGAATTATGTTGTTCCCCATTGATTTTGCTTGCAGGAAGCTGACTGGGAAGGTCACAAATTGTGATCATGTGACCCCAGGGTGCTGTAACCATTATAATTGTGAGCTGGTTGCCAAGCACCCAGATCACAATCACGTGATAGTAGAGGTGCTGCGATGGTTGTAAGTGGGAGGACTGTTTGTAAGTCCCCTTGTTCAGCACTGTTGTAACTTTGAATGATCACTAAACAAATGGTTGTTAAGTGAGGACTACCTGTAACAACTTGCCTGGGTGGATAAGAGGGGAGAAAGGTAGAAAAATAAATCTCTGTTGTGCCATAAATTACCCTTTTTGAACAGTCAGACATGACTTAACGACTGAACAACAACAACAAAAATCCTGTGGCAACTAGTTGGGCTGGGCTTCAGTTCCATTGTTCCAAGCCAACCTGATTGATAGTCAGGGATGATGGTAGTTGTAGGAAAGTAGCAGGTGTGGGTTCCTCAACCTTCTTTGGCCAAAATTGCCCCTTAGCAGAGAAGGTCTTTTGGGCTGTTACCTAAACCTCATTACCCAAATCTTGGGTCTTACGCATACAAAGAAGGGGCTGAAAAGACACAGCTGCTTTAAAGCAATCCCAACCGGTGCAGCACTGGCATGTTGTTGGAACTGTGTCAGAAACATGGCACAGCTCTGAAAACCAAAAGCTCGGGATACACAGGTAGTCCCCAGTTTAAGAACGAGTTCTGTTCCCAAGATCTGTCCTTAAGCCAAATTTGTGCATAAGCCAGAACAATATTATTGTATGATACTATATAAGTAGTATTGTGCAATGAACTCGAACCATTGTATATTTAACTCAAATCATTGTGTATTTTGCTACAACAGGCTCTGTTCTTAACTATGGGTTATCCGTCAACCGGGCATTCTTAACCCGGGGACTCCCTGTATAGCCATTCTGTGCCCCACTGCTATCTGTTGCTGCATACAAACCCTTGACACTCTTCCTCCCCACCCTTCCCCTTCCAAGGAAGAGCCCCTCCCCTTGGCCTTCTACGTTCAGGACTCCGAAATCGTTGCCTCCCTGGAGAAGACCCTGGCCGAACTGGCCCTCGAGACAGAGCGCGTGGTCGAGATCATCTACCAACCCCAGGCCGTGTTCCGGGTGCGGGCAGTGACCCGCTGCACCAGTTCCTTGGAGGGGCACAGTGAGGCTGTCATCTCGGTTGCCTTCAGCCCTACGGGAAAGTAAGGAGAGACACTGTTTGGGTTGGGTGCTGGAGGGAAAAGAGCTGGAGGCCAGAAAGCCTTATCCACTGCTTAATCCTATTTTTTTTAGAGAATGAGTTAAAACTGGCAGTTGATGGTCTATATAACCTTGGAAGAGAAATAAGTTATGGGTGGCTTTATTAGAACTTGTAAGAGTTGTAATATTAGTGCTCAGCTGGCCTCTAGGGATGATCTGGAGCAGTGTTCCTCAACCTTATCTACTTGAAGATGGGTGGACTTCAACTCCCAGAATTCCCCAGCCATGCTGGCT